ATCATTTTGAATCGGTGAATTTTAGAGAACACGATTTGCCCTACCACATGAGAGTAGCCATTGATGAAAAATACTTTGTCGGAAGGTGGTATAGTGTGAAAGGAATCAGCGCGACGAGAAAACCCAGTATCATCAGGTGATCATTTCACTTTCGTTGAAATTGAGTAGGTGGGTTTTCAAAGACATTTTCAGTCATCCCACCTTAATCGACCCGATAGAGCCTGTCGTCTTGGCTTTTGATATTGAAACTACGAAGCTTCCTCTGAAATTTCCTGATCCAGCTATGGATGAGATCATGATGATCTCGTATATGGTAAGTTTTTTGATCAGAGCTTTTCGTTTATTTACTCGATTTCATTCAAATATGATTTCAGATCGACGGTAAAGGTTTCCTTATTATCAACCGTGACATTGTTGCGGCAGAAATAGAGTCTTTCGAGTACACACCTAAGGAAGAGTACAAAGGAGAGTTTTTCATCTTCAATGAAGCCGACGAAACTGCGACAATCCGAAGGTATAGATCCTCTACGACGTTTACGCAATTTTTCTCCTCTCTATCTTTTCATTTAAGGTTTTTTGACCACATTCTTCAAATTCGGCCGAATATTATTGTTACATATAACGGAGACTTCTTCGACTGGTTTGTGGTATTTTTATTTAATCATTTCAGCTTCGTCCTTTTGAGGTTTTTGAACTTGCAATTCCCATGGCAAACCTCACAGGACATCCTGAAAATGACATCTTTTTTAGGCCATTCGTTGAAACGCGAGCGCAAATACGAGGTATGAATATGGAAAATGAGATCGGATTTGCGAAGGATTCCGCCGATGAATTCAAGAGTCGAAATTGTATTCATATGGATGCATTCAGGTTTTGCTTTCTATACCTTTTCAAGCGTACAATAATTTGGCACATTTAATATTTTTTCTGCTGCAGATGGGTAAAGCGTGATTCTTATCTACCCATTGGAAGTCAGAACCTGAAGGCCGTCGCAAAAGCTAAATTACGGTATGATCCGGTAGAAGTTGATCCGGAAGAAATGTGTAAAATGGCACGAGAGGACCCGCAAGTGAGAAATTCCATCTCATTTCAGATTACCTCTATGAAACAGAAAATTGTTTTTAGAGTTTGGCCAATTATTCAGTATCTGATGCTGTGGCCACCTATTATCTATACATGAAATACGTTCATCCGTTTGTTTTTGCTTTGTGCACCATTATTCCGCTCGGACCGGATGACGTGAGTATCCTCTGTGTTTCTGCAATCGCATCGCCTTAAGCTACTGCGTAATAGAAGTATTGTAAATCCGGAAGATAGCACATATTACGCACAGGTACTCAGGAAAGGCTCGGGCACCCTATGCGAAGCGCTTCTAATGGTGGAAGCTTTTCATAGTAATATTGTGTTCCCAAACAAGTACACTGAGGACGATGAAAGCAAATCTACCAAGGACGGTCACCGGTAAGCAATATTGGCGCCACGTCCTTCAGCAGTGTGAAACAACCTTTTCAGGATCGAATCTGAAACATATGTTGGAGGTCATGTAGAAGCTCTAGAAGCTGGTATTTTTCGTGCCGATATTCCGTGCAGGTACCTTCCTACCGTTCAAATGTTGGTACCATCCTTATTCCTGCCCAGCCTAATCTATTTTACTTTGGTACAGGTTTCGCTTGTCACCTGCTGCGCTAAAGAGTCTTCATGACTCCGTTCAGGACACGCTGGAGAAAGAACTGCTCCGAGAACATAACATTCCCCGGGAGAATGTGCTTGACTTTGAGGAAAAGGGTACGGTATGAGCTCAAGTTACCTTAATCTGCATATAAACATATGTATAAGATGCCCTGTTATAACTGACATTTCCCTTCAGTGTGCCCGAGGTCCAACAAGCGTTCACTGACCTAATAGCTATTCCTGCCAGGTTCGAAAATTTTCATTGACTTGAAAAGACAACTTAGAGAACAATTATTCCTCAATCTTAGGATGGAAAACCCACGCATTTACCACTTGGATGTCGGCGCCATGTACCCGAATATAATTCTAACGAATCGGTTACAGGTAATCTTGCTACCCAAAGTTTTACTTAAATTGTTTCTGTCTCACTTTTATTACAGCCGTGTGCGATGGTTAACGAAGAAGTCTGTATGGCGTGTTGTTATAATCGTCCCGATGCTAAATGTAAACGAGTCATGAATTGGGAATGGAGAGGAGAATTAAGTAGGATCAAAAGTGCTTTTTCCATTTATTTTTCATCTATACTATTTCCATTAAGCTCCTGCCTCACGTGGTGAGCTCCAACAAATTATCCAACAACTAGAAGGAGAAACATTTGGAAGACCTCCAAAAGCCTTTCATCAGTTAGAAAAAGCTGAAAGGCAAGCCATCGAGAAGAAGAGAATACAAGGTGAGGAGCTATAGCTATGATGAAGACGGGTCTGACTGATTTTGTTTCAGACTATTCTCGGCGTGTGTACGGTCGAACCCATCTAACTCGCCTTAGAAGTGCGACAAACTATGATCTGTCAGCGTGAAAACGCTTTCTACGTTGACACAGTGAAAGCCTTTCGCGATCGTAGGTATGGGCAGATTTTTTCTTTGCTTCTTTGCGTTTATGAACATTTCATCGTTCTAGATACGATTACAAAGAGCTGTTGAAGAAAGCGAAATCATCGCTCGACGAGCTGTCTAAAGATGATATTGCGGGCATCAAAGCTGCCAAGGGTAATGGCTATCAATTACCTTATTTTTCTTTGTTGACCATCTATCGAGTCCTTACGAAGGAAAGTAACTTAGGGCCGTAACAAATGCTCCGTTTCATCGGTCGAATCTTTGGAGAATCTTAGATCCTTCGTCAGTGGCGTAGATTCTCATCAGGAGAGTGTTCTTGATACGATGTCTGAAATTTCAAAGGAAAGAAGCGCTTTATTTGTAGCTTGCACTTAAAAATGTCGAATTTGAAAAAGTCGGGAGTGTAAGGTCGGTCAATAAACTCTCTCCCTTCACAACTAGTTTGTTTGATAACTATCGAACTTACGCACCTTTTCGGAATTTTATTGTAGATCGAAGTCATCAATGAACATTTTGAAGAAAATGGCTTCTGAAACCATTTTTCGAAGGTGTTTTCGAATATCTTTCTCTCTGGATAGATACAGTGCCCGTGCAAGGGTACTTCTAAGGGCATTTCTCATTTTCTCAACTCTAAAGGCGAATCTTCTACCTGTCACTGCGCCTGAATTTATTCTCTTTCTCACCCGCACTCCTGCTTTGTTTCACTTAATACCCTCCCAGAGTCACATCCATTAATGAAAGCTCTATCTTCTGTCAGAAATTCAGTTTTTATCTTCAGGTCGTATTGTGCTGTACGAGTCTCTGCAGCTGGCTCACAAATGTATTCTCAACTCTTTTTATGGATATGTGATGCGCAAAGGCAGCAGATGGTAATTGTTTAGTTGTTTACGCGGTGCTTTTCAAATTATCTGTTGGGGTTAGCGTAGCATAAACTGGTTTTTGGTCTTTTTTCTCTGGAAAAAGTGTTCCAACAAACACTTGACGGCGCTAGGATTTGCAGTAAATCTATCTTCCTTAGGTTTTCTATGGAAATGGCTGGCATCGTTTGCCATACAGGAGCTCAAATTATCACCGAGGCCAGGAAATTAGTGGAGCAGATTGGAAAGCCACTTGAGTTGGATACCGATGGTACGTTTAATTGAAAGGCTAAGCCAATGTTGGCTATCAGACAAATGCGGTCCTTCCAGGAATATGGTGTTTACTCCCAGCATCCTTTCCCGAGAACGTCACTTTTGCTCTACAGAACTGCAAAAGGAAATCGGTAATTGAACTTTGATTCGTTGAGCGATTTATCCACTACAGTGGGCATTCGAGTGTGTGAATGGTTGATTGCGTTAACGTAAAAGTCTTTGAAAGTCATTTAGATTACCGTATCTTATCCTGGTGCCATGCTGAACGCAGTTGTGAATGCTGGCTTTACAAATGATCAGTACCACAATTTACAACCAGACGGGTCGTACACGATCACAAAAGAGAATTCCATTTTCTTCGAGGTAATGTTAGATTTTACACATATTGAAATCAACGGTGTCCTCACTTCTTTCCTATAGGTGGACGGGCCATACCAATGCATGGTTCTTCCTGCTTCGAAGGAAGAAGGGAAGAAACTCAAAAAGAGGTAATGAGAGAACGTTAAAGCGTTACTTTAACCCTCCTGACACATACTCTTTTGTTCACTAGATATGCGGTCTTCAATTTGGATGGATCTTTGGCAGAATTGAAAGGATTCGAGGTGAAACGTCGTGGTGAACTCAATATCATAAAGCACTTCCAGTCTGCAGTCTTCAAGGCGTTTCTTCGCGGAACGACACTCGCAGAAGTAATTACTAGCTGCTATCTAACTTTTTGATTATTGAGTAAATATTGGGTTACAACTTTCAACGATATATTCGCTGATTCTTCGTACTGTAGGTATACGAGAGCGCCTCTCGTGAAGCGGACTATTGGCTCGATGTTCTGTTTTCAAAAGGTGGCTCCTTGTCTGATGCAGAGCTTTTTGATCTGATTTCCGAAAACAGGAGCATGTCAAGAAAACTAGAAGATTATGGAGCTCAAAAAAGTACGAGTATCAGTACAGCTAAAAGATTAGCTGAGTTTCTTGGCGCCGACATGGTCAAGGTGAGCTGATTTCTTATTGGCTCTGTATTTAGAGCGTTATTCTAGAGATGTATTTAATATTCTTTTTTTGTAGGATGCCGGTCTTGCATGTAAATTCGTCA